CTCGTTAAAGAATAGGCGAGAAAGCATTGTGGAAGTGAGTAGTCGAGGCAAGGTTGTGCAATGTTTTGAAAAAACAAGACATCTATGGAGAGGTAAAGGTGGTAATAATATAAAACATGCGGGGATCTTAAATTAAGATACAGAGGAAATAGGGTTCCTGGGGGTGCCCATTTGGGTAAGAACACGGTCAAGCCACTGAAGGGGACCATTGAGGTGAATCTCAACCCAGCAAGGAGTCGAGGTAACGTCTTGGCGATGATACTCTGCGCCCCAGCCTTTAACAAAACTCATTCGAATGGTGCACATCTTTGTTAGCTCGTAAACGGCCTCAAAGCCATGATTTACTGTCCGGCTAAGCAGTTGGGCGAATTCCTACAGCAAAAAATGAATGAAGTGACAAATTCAGATAGTTTTATATGATAATTTTAATTTGGCATAAAAATGGAAAAAATAGGGAGCATTAAATTCTCCATCGATGGATGACTAAAGACTTTGAATGATGATTGTTTTAGAAGTTGTTTGACCTTGTTTTCGCAACTTGGTCATATTGCTAGGAAGACTTAGAGGAACTCACCTAGTCTGGAGTCCATTTTCTGCATGATCATTTCCAAAGTTGAACCGTGGACGTGGTACATTTCCAAAAGTTTCGCCGGCAGGGTCAATGAGTATCAACACTCTTAGCCTCACACTACAACTCGTCAAAGAGACAAGTGAAGATGATCCTTTTGCCAAACGTGTGCTAAACAAGTGTGGTATCGCCCCTTCTGCCCTTAGTTATTTGCATTTCCTCTATCATCTCATCATACCTTCAATATTACCGTGTTTATCTAGATATAGTGTTGTGCTTTTTTGAGCGAAATGAAACCTTCACACTGTCGTTCTTACCCTCACTTCATCATTGTGCAGTGAATATGGATCAGAATCTGCATTATTACTACGTAGTCCTCTTTCCTAGTCTTATCCCAGTCTCTCTTGCTCTGTAAAATCCGTCTGCTCTGCCCCTTGTT